CACCGAGTCCCAGCTGGCCGGGTGTGTGGCTGAGGTCGGGAAGATTACTTAACAGCCCAGGAAAGTTAGAGGCTAAGGTCTAGCCCAGATGACTGCACCACTGCATGTTGTCCGCAGCGCGTGGGCGAAGGAGTAAGACCCTGTCTCAAAGTTAAAAAAGAAATGGTCTTTTGTGTGCTAATGACATGGTGGCTACTGAGGGTCCTTAGATAGCTTCAGGACTGGGGGGTTACTCCGGAGTGGCTGGTCACCACCGCAAATCTGCAAGGCATGAATTATGAGAGGGTTGGAACCTTTCAACCCTCATCCCTTGAGGTGAAGGAGGGGCTGGCCGAGACTGAATACTAATCACAATAGCCAATGACTGAGATCAATCATGGCTTGTGGGGTGCTGAAACTTATTCCATCTGATAGAGACTCATGAGTTTTGGATGTGGCTTCTCATTGATGTATGGTATTGAGGTATATTGGTGGAAATGAATTGATTCAGTGTTTTTTTTTAGGTGTTGGAAGTACACTGACGGTGGCTGGGAGTTAGCTATATGTCGTCTTGGTTCTACTTATGCCCTGTGCGTGTGTGTGCGGGGTCGCGAGGCTCTGTTCGTTTTCTTGTGTGTTGTGGTTTTTGTGTTTTGAGGATGAGTCCGTTGCCTGTGTGTCTGCGCGCGCAGAGGGCTGAGGAATGCGGGAGTGGCGTGATCCGGGCTTAGCTGCAATCACCTCTGCCTCCTGTTAGGATTGGTTATCAAGTTGGATTCTCGGCGTTGCCTAGGTTCTCTCGCTGAGTATTGCGCTGTGTGGGTGAGAATTACGGCATGCACCACCACATCGCACATTTAATATTTTGTATTTTTAGTGTTAGATAACTTGGGTTTTCGTCGATGGGATTGGATCATGTGCTGCTCTTGGAACTTGCTGACCTCAGCAGATCCACTGGTTGTGCTCTGTCGGGCAGTGTCTCTCAACAATGCTGTGGTGTGCGCACCTGCGGTTTTGGGCTGGGGTGTGGTTTTTGTTGGTCCCTCGCACTGTGGGCACCCGTCACCACGCCCTGCTAATATTTATTTTTATTTTTTGTGATGGAGTCTTGCTCTTGTCGCCTAGGCTAGAGTGCAATGGTGGATCTCGGCTCACTGCAACCTCCACCTCCTGGGTTCAAGCGATTCTCCTGCCTCAGCCTCCCGAGTAGCTCAGACTACAGGTGCCTACCACCACACCCAGCTAATTTTTGTATTTTTTAGTAGAGACAGGGTTTCACCATGTTAGCCAGGCTAGTTTCCAACTCCTGACCTCAGATGATCCACCTGCCCTGACCTCCCAAAGTTCTGGGATTACAAGTATGAGCTACTGCCCCCAGCCAATTTTTTGTAGAGACAGAGTCACACTATGTTGCCCAGGCTGGTGTTAAACTCCTGGACTCCAGTGATCCTCTTGCTGTGTCCCCACAAAGTGCTGGGATTACGGAAGTGAACCACCACACCCAGAAACCAAATAATTTTTAATATATTGTGGCTGGGTGCGGTGGCTCATGCCTGTAATCCCAGCACTTTGGGAGGCTGAGGGGGGTGGATCACCTGAGGTCAGGAATTTGAGACCAACCTGACCCAACATGGTAAAACCCCATCTCTACTAAAAATACAAAAATTAGCTGGGTGTGGTTTTGGGCTCCTGTAATCCCAGCTACTCAGGTAGCTGAGGCAGGAGAATCACTTGAACCCAGGAGGCGGAGGTTGCATTGAGCTGAGATCAAGCTATTGCACTCCAGCCTGGGTGACAGAGTAAGACTCTGTCTCAAACAAAAAACAAACAAACAAACAAAAAACGTATCATGGTAAGTAAAAATCATTCCATGAGTATCCTTAGATCAAAGTACTTCTGTGCCCTGCTTGGGCAGATTTCCTGGATATGCTAGAGAAGGATGATTTGGTATCTGTCTTTCTTTCTTTTTTTTTTTTTTGAGACAGAGTTTCACTCTTGTCGCCCAGGCTGGAGTGCAGTGGCACGATCTCAGCTCACTGCAACCTCCTCCTCCCAGGTTCAAGCGATTCTCCTGCCTCAGCCTCCCAAGTAGCTGTGATTACAAGTGCCTGCCATCACACTAGGCTAATTTTTGTATTATTTTTAGTAGAGACAGGGTTTCGCCATGCTGGCCAGGCTGGTCTTGAACTCCTGACCTCAGGTGATCCATCTGCCTTGACCTCCCAAAGTGCTGGGATTACAGATGTGAGCCATGGTGCCCAGCCTTCCTTTTCTTTTTTTTTTTTTAGAGACGGGCTCTTCCTACGTTCCCCAGCCTTTACTCAAACTCCTGGGCTCAAGCAATCTTCCTGCCTCGGCCTATCCAGTAGCTGGGACTACAGGCAAGTGCCACCACACCCAGCTGTTGTGCATAATTTGAACACCACCTCTTACAACCAACTAATCTAAATCCTCAAATGTATGTGTATTTTCTTTGAAATTCCATATTACATATTTGTGAAGGCAAGTTTCTTACTTTGTGTGGTTTTTTTTTTTTTTTTTTTGAGACAGAGTCTTGCTCTATCCCCCAGGTTGGAGGGGCATGATCTTGCCTCACTGCAACCTCCGCCTCCTGGGTTCAAGCGATTCTCATGCCTCAGCCTCCTGAGTAGCTGGGATTACAGGCACCTGCCACTGCCCGGCTAATTTTTGTATTTTTAGTAGAGACGGGGTTTCATCATGTTGGCCAGGCTGGTCTCGAACTCCTGACCTCAGGTGATCCGCCCGCCTCAGCCTCCCAAAGTGCTTTTTTATTGTCAGAAGAGTGTGAGATTTGTCCATCTAGAATCAAAATATCTTCAGAGCCTTTGTAATCAAAGACTACCCAGACCCAACTTTAAGGAAACTGCTCTAATTTTGTTTTCAAGGGTCTCACCTAGATTTCACACACAGTGTGAAACAATAAAGCACGGAGCTGAGAGCACACATTCTTCTCCGACCTGTATTTGAATCTTCACTCTACAGTGTGAAAATACGTAATTCACAATCAAAGCTGATGAAACTTTAAAAATTATTTTGAGTCTTAAAGGAATGTGATTACGGGACCTGAGTCATGTTTTTTTGTTTGTTTGTTTGTTTTGAGACTGAGTCTCGCTCTGTCGCCCAGGCTAGAGTGCAGTGGTGCGATCTCGGCTCACGGCAAGCTCAGCCTCCCAGTTTCACGCCATTCTTCTGCCTCAGCCTCTCGAGTAGCTGGGACTATAGGCGCCCGCCATTGCGCCTGGCTAATTTTTTGTAATTTTAGTAGAGACGGTGTTTCACCGTGGTCTCCATTGCCTGACCTCGTGATCTTCCCGCCTCGGCCTCCCAAAGTGTTGGGATTACAGGCGTGAGCCACCGCGCCCGGCCAGGACCTCAGTCATGTTAAAGGCAGCTGTAACCTAGACAGCTATAACCTTAACTTCTCTGGTTATAGATTAGCCTTTTTCTTTACCTACACTGTTTTATAAAAGACTAAACGGCACCAGAGAAGCCTTCCCTCTACTGTTGGTCTTAATTATAGACTCACTTCCCTGTTTCTTCTCTCTTTTTTTTCCCAAAGCAGGTGAACCCTTTCCTTCTCTTATACAAACACCTATGACTATCACATGGTCTAAGATGGAATGTTAAATATACTCTTAAGATGACAGCAAGAATGAGGGGGAAGAAAAATAAAATAAATATATTCTTTAAACTGGAAAGAAAAAGGAGAAAACGGAGTGGTAACTAATCAAATTCCTGTAACTCATAAAACAGCTTTGTATAGAAAATGTAATCCTGAGAAATTTCTTTGTTTGCTGTCTGTATAAGTAAGACCTTTCTGGGCGGGGGGGGTTTGGGCTCACGCCTTGTAATCCAGCACTTTGGGAGGTTCGGAGGCGGGCGGATCACCTGAGGTCAGGAATTTGAGACCAGCCTGTCCAACATGGCAAAACCCTGTCTCTACTAAAAATGCAAAAATTAGCTGGGCATGGCCGGGCCTGGTGGCTTAGCCTGTAATCCCAGCACTTTAGGAGGCCAAGGTGGGCAGATCACCTGAGGTCGGGAGTTCGAGACCAGCCTGGACCAACATGGAGAGAACCCCGTCTCTTACTAAAAACACAAAATTAGCCCGGCATGGTGGTGCATGCCTGTAATTCCAGCTACTCGGGAAGGCTGGGCAGGAGAATCGTTGAACCGGGAGGTGGAGGTTGCGGTGAGCCAAGATCCGCCCATTGTACTCTAGCCTAGGCAACAAGAACAAACTCCTCTCAAAAAAAAAAAAAAACTTAGCTGGGCATGGTGGCAGGCGCCTGTAATCCCAGCTACTTGGGAGGCTGAGGAAGGAGGAATCCCTTGAACCCAGGAGGTAGAGGTTGCAGAGGCTGAGATCGCACCACTGCACTCAAGCCTAGGTGACAGAGAGAGACTCTGTTCTCAAAAACACAAATTAAAATAGCCAGGCGGCGGTGGCTCACGCTTGTAATCCCAGAACTTTGGGAGGCAGAGGCGGGTGGATCACCTGAGGGTCAGGAGTTGGAGACCACCCTGACAATATGGTAAAACCCTGTCTCTACTAAAAATACAGAAAAATTAGCTGGGTGTTGTGGCATGGCCGTTGTAGTCTCAGCTACTTGGGAGCGGAGACAGGAGAATTGCTTGAACCCAGGAGGCAGAGTTTGCAGTGGCTGAGATCATGCCACTCACTCCAGCCTGGGTGACAGAGCAGAGACTCTGTCTCAAAAACAAACAAAACAAACAAAAACAAAAAGAAAAGGCTATACAACAATAGTTGTCAGCACATTGTCTCTAGGGAATGTTCTGGAGTGACTGACTTGTCTGAAACTGGTAATGGGAATGGTTGTACACCTGTATACGTTTACGAGAATTATCAAACTGTACACTTAAAACAGGTGCATTTTTTGGTACATAAAGTATACTTGATAAAGCCATTAAAGAAAAACACCTCAAGTCCAACGCTTAAAAGTAAAAGAAGGCCGGGTACGGTGGCTCACGCCTGTAATCCCAGCATTTAGGAGGCCAAGGCGGGGGATTACGAGGTCAGGAGATCGAGGACCATCCTGGCTAACACAGTGAAACCCCGTCTCTACTAAAGAATATAAAATTAGCCGGGCGTAGTGGCGGAGCTAAGTCCAGCTACTCAGGAGGCTGAGGCAGGAGAATGGCGTGAACCCAGGAGGCAGAGGTTGCAGTGAGCTTGAGATTGCGCCACTGCACTCCAGCCTGGGCGACAGAGCAAGACTCGGTCTCAAAAAAAAAAAAAAAAAGTAAAGAGAAAATAAAAACTCCAAGAGTCATATTCCAAGAAATTAAATTTTTATTACAAGCGGCACACCTGTAATCCCAACACTTTGGAGGCCCAGGTGGGCTCATCACTTGAGGCCAGGAGTTCGGAGACCAGCCTGGCCAATATGGTAAAACCCATTTCTGCTAAAATACAAAAATTAGCTGGGTGTGGTGGTGCATGCCTGTAATCCCAGCTACTCGGAGGCTGAGGCAGGAGAATCGCTTGAACCCGGGAGGCAGAGGTTGCAGTGAGCTGAGATTGCACACTGTACTCCAGCCTGGGTGCACTGGGTGACAGAGGGAGACTTCATTCTTCAAAAAAAAAAAAGTAAGATATTAACTTTTCAGCTTGGGTGTACTGACCACATTCCTTTGGAGTCTGTATTTCCTGGATGGCTGTCTTCAGCTTCATGTCTGAATAAACCCTTATTTATTCATTTTTTTTGAAACGGCCTCTGTTGCCAGGCTGTAGTGCAGTGGTGCGATCTCAGGTCACTGCAACCTCCGACTCACTGGTTCTAGCGATTCTCCTGCCTCAGCCTCTTGAGTAGCTGGGATTACAGACACGTGCCACCATGCCCAGCTAATTTTTGTATTTTTGGTAGAAATGGGGATTCACCATGTTGGCCAGGATGATCTTGATCTCCTGACCTCATGATCCGCCCACCTCGACCTCCCAAAGTGCTGGGATTACAGGTGTGAGCCACCGCGCCGGGTCTGAATAAACACTTTTAAACTGGATTCTGATGCTTTTGACAGTAGCCTTGGGGAATTTCAAAATTCCAATTTAATTGTGAATGGGAAGAATAGTGTCCTTTTCACAGGATTGTGATGAAGATTAAATGAGATAATACACTCAAAGGATTGAGCACAGTAATTGGGCCCCAAATCATCACTCCAAAGATTTGAGCTACTATGTTTATCTATGTATATATATGTATACATAAAGTAGCTATTACATATAATAGGTAAGAATTGTTCCATAAGTATTTGCATGTTATCTTCCTGCTTCTGTTGGAATATTTGGCTGTTTCATTTAATATAAGATGAGACTATAGGCATGCACCACTATGCCCAGCTAATTTTTGTATTTTCAGTAGAGATCGGACAGGTGTGGTGGTGGCTCATGCCTGTAATCCCAGCACTTTGGGAGGCCGAGGCAGGCGGATCATGAGGTCAAGAGATCGAGACCATCCTGGCTAACACAGTGAAACCCTGTCTCTACTAAAAATACAAAAATTAACTGGGTGTGGTGGTACGTGCCCGTAGTCCCAGCTACTCGGGAGGCTGAGGCAGGAGAATCTCGTGGACCCAGGAAGCATAGGTTGCAGTGAGCCAAGATCGTGCCACTGCACGCCAGCCTGGCGACAGAGCGACACTCCATCTCGAAAAAAAAAAAAAAAATATGATTATGGTAGTAGGAAATAACACCATATTTTAAATAAATGGCCAGGTGACATCTCAGCAGGAGCTGGAAAGAAAGAATCAAGCCACACAGATTTCTGGGAAATAACGG